AAGAAAAACACCAAATTTAAAACTTAAGCTTTATTCTGGCATCCAATGAACCTGATTAGATTTTGGGTAGAGTCGGAACATCTGGGGGGGTACTTTATGGGTATTCATTTTTAGCCATGGGCGTAACACAAGAAATGCAGCTCAAAACAATGTCACACGCCAAAACCCCAACCACACCATTTGCCAAAATCATATTTATTGTCTTGGTCCAAAAATCTTTAACTGCCTTCCTAATGATATTAAAGTAAAACCATATTCTAAGTGTAAAAAAGAGATAAGACAGTGGATACTCCAAAGCAATTATGTAATTAATTATATAGTTTAATTTTAAATAATTATCACACAATTACTGTTCATATATGTAATACTTATTTTACTATCTCCTATCGAATTATTGTTACCACATTTCTACTACTTTAGTACAAAAATATGTTATACTTAGCTTAAATAAGAATATATTTTTTGTTATTAAAAAAAAAAAAGTTAATGGTAAAACCTCAAAGATACATGTATAAGAAAAAGAGTGCACACACAGTACTTTTAAGTACAATCGTGCACTAGAGTAGAAGTTTTCATTTTAAATATTATTTAGAGGGTGACCTCAATTTAGGAATTAAGTAGTTAAGTAATAGAGTGATTTATTTTTCTCTTGTTCCTATAGATAATTAATTATATTACTGTTTAATATAAATGTAAACTACTACATAAATAAATAATATATTTTATGGAATATATCTGTTATGTACGTTTGTAAAAGAAAATTCTTCAAACAAAAGTTACTTAAAATATTATCAATATTTTTTGTTGTATAAATTTTTTTTCTAAAATGGTTATTTTTCACTAAGAGTTTTGACTGTTACGCGCATACCTTCTGTTTCGTGAAATCTATGAACTATATCTCGGATTGTTCCAATATTGTAGGATGGAATATCTGTTACACTTGATGTTCTTTTGCGCTTTTTTGGACTTTTAAACAATTGTTTAGGTATGGTCGGCGTAAACTTTTCACCTTTTGATATCTCACCTTCTATAATCATTCGTTCAATTGTTTTTACCGAGTGTCCTGTAGCTTCAGCAACTTGTTCTTTAATTTCAGTGAGAGTTTTGGGATCATCAACACATTGTCTATAAGCCTATAAGTTTCACTATAATCGTATGTGAGAAATTTGACAAAATGTAAAAAAATATTTTTTTATAAAAATTATTCTAATAAAAGTTGTTTGTAATATAATTCTCTATAATTTTTATTCTATACATAATTTCTCTAAAATGGACCGTATTCGAGATATTTGACAAAATTTCGAATTTTAAAGAAAACTCAAAAACGGATAAAGGAAAAAACATTAAATTTTAAACTTAAGTTTTATTTCGGCCTGACGTGAAATAATTAGATTTTGGACAAAGTCGAAACATCTGGGGGGGGGGGGGGTACTTTATGGGAGGCCGTTTTTATATTTTATGGAATATATCTGTTATTTATGTTTGGAGAAGAAAATTGTTCAAAAAGTTACTTCTAATATTATCTATAATTTTTGGTTTATGTCAAATTTTCCTGAAATGGTAGTAAGTATTCGAGAAATTTGACTAAATGTGGAAAATTCAGATTTTTAAGAAAACTGTTAAACTAAAAGTTGTTTGCGATATCGATCCCTATAATTTTCGTTTCTACATGATTTTTCTAAAATGGACCGTAATGGAAAAATTGGAGGGAAAATTGCTAAATTTAAATTTTTCAGTATTTTCGTTTTCAATGAATATCTATAGAAAAATGTTTCGAGTTAGATGTATGTGGAAAATGTATATATTTAGTTTATTCTGTAAACATTTATAGAGGTGCTACAATAGGTTGTACAAAATAACCGGAAAAAGCCTATAATAACTAGATAGGAAAGTCATGTGTTGGACACATTAGATTTTTTTTGTTTTAGGTTTAGATTTATTGCATAAATTGTTAACGGTTAAAGTTTTTAGATAAAGACTTGTTTTTGTTTATCATTTTCTTATAAAAGTTTATCTTTGCCTGTTTTATATCTTTTGTTAAATTATTTTTTTTTGTTGCAATTCTTGATTATTAGGATCTTTTTTTAGCTGTAAATATAATACATTTTTTCAGTTATAGACTTTACTAAAGAATTGGTTATCCATTCCTTTCTTTTTTTAATTTTCTGTTCATATTTGTTTTCTTTGTATTTCTTTCAATATAAAATTTAAGTTTATTTACAAATTTTGTTGTTGCTTCGTTAATGTTTAGGATAGTAAAGATGTCATACCAGTTTTCAGTTTCTAAATCATTTTTTAATGTTTTATTATTATTTATATAAGTTTTATAATTTAGTGTTTTTTTCGCGATCACATTTTTAATATTTTCGATTTCAATTTTTATAAACGATACATTAGTAAACCTGGCACAAATGTTTACCAAAAAAGTATCACTGGCTCCCCTACCATAATGTATTCCTATCATTTGCGCCATATATTATTATCTATCGAAAACAACGAAAAATAAATAAATACCTTAAGATTTTTATAGCACATCTTATAATAGTATAGACTTTTAATACATGTTTATCATTTGGAGGTTAAATAAATAAAACAAAAACAAAATAATTAATTGTCACTCCTTTATTTACACGTATTTATAAATGTAGACATTTACACAGCCAAATGTATTTATTCTAAAGTCAAAATGTAAATAGTTAAACTCTTGAATCTTTTTTAATATTAAATAATTATTACAAAATGTAAATAAAAGTGATTCGTAGTTAATAAATACTGACCTACAATGATTTTATATAAAAAAATAATAATTAGTAGAAATAAAAAAGGAACTAGAAAATCAGGCTGAAAAGTCTGAGATTTTGCTTTTTTATTTGTCGCATTTTAAGAACCCAGTGTATTTTCAACGAGACGTCTCAGACTTTATAAGCTAGCAAATACAGATTTTAAAACTTTGGTAAGAGTATTAGAATGAACATTTTTAATTATAAGGCATTCTATTCAATAAATCTTCAAAAGAATCAGACTATTTTTTAACGCCTCGTATTTTAACCCAAACAATATATTTAAACAATAATTTAGGGACAGATTAATTTTAATAGAATTTTATCACAAAATTAATTTGTTTTTAAATATTGTAACTACTTTAATTTATATTTAATTTGACATAATTATTTATGGCTTATTGTTGTGTTATTAAAAAATCATTAAAACGTGCATATGCAAACAATACAGAAAAACGGCAAAAGTCAGGTTTGTTTTAAAACATTAAAATAAAACAAACTAGATATATAATTTTAAAATTGCAGTGGAATATGTAGGTTATTAAAACAAATACAGAAATATTTCATGCTTTGATTAAATGTTTTCTGCCAAAATAAATTTACGTCAACAAAAATTTAAAATATCTTTGGATTAAAATATAGACATTCTTATATTTTTCTTAAAAATTGCTTATTCTCTTTGAAACTTAAAAAACTATTTACAACATTTCACGTATAGAAAATATTTACATTAAACTCTATTATTTATTATAGATGTTATCATCAAGTACTTATTTGATTTTTTTTATGTACCTACAAAGAGCAAACTTAACTATCAAATAATGGGGTCTATTCTGTAACAATTCCTTTATATTTAAGGGCCTTTAAAAATATTTTCTTCTTTACTTCTGTCATTATTTAAACGGATCTTTAAAATACATTAGAGGAATATCTTAAAGAAATCTGTTTAAATAATGACAGAAGTAAATTAACGAATACAAACATATTTTTAAAGGTCGCCAATATTTTTAAAGGCCGTTAAATATAAAGGAATTGTTACAGAATAGACCCCAATGTTTTTGAGAGTATCTATATCATTAAATAAACATTATAAGGTTCATCGAAATTTGGAAAGAAACAATCATAAAAAAAAATTATCACAATATCATTTATATAGGAGTCTAAAATAATATTTAAGTAATTGATATGTTAAAAAATGTTGTTCTTTAAATACACGTATAGATAGGTACTAATTACCTACGATTTTAATTCACAATAATCCCTGTATCAAATTCTATTTTTGTTTTTTCTTTTTGATAAATTTAATCATTTTATGTATTCTAATTTTCAATTTATTGGACTAAATTTCAAATAGTACAATTTGAGATCGACAAACGTAAAAATCGACGCGAAATGTATACAAGGGACAGTCAAAAATTAAACCGAATTTTTTTTGTTTGACATTTCATCACCTTAAAATTTCAATAATACTAGACTGAAACGGTGACCTGAGCCTTTGAGTTTGGGGGTTCAGTCCCATTCCTCTGATGATTTTTATTCGTAAAATTTGTGTCTGCAAGCAGCATCACAACATCTCACTCCAGGCATTTCAAATTGAATCACCTATTTCAGAAACAACCTTAGTCATATTTTGGCCACTTTAAGTTTATTCTGGCAACACTTATTTTTGAAGATAACATACAATTTAATTCAGGCATCGTTGATTTTATTACGATTTAAAATATTCGTTAATTTCTGAAACAAAATGTTTTTCCCATCTCCTGAAAACTGTTAAATTGTGTCTTAGGTTGTTTCTGAAATAAGCGATTCAATTATATAAACAAAATGTGGTTGGCTCGGAGTCTGTACCCTAAACCAAAATGTTAAAAATAAACCAATCATTCAATAAAATTATTCTTTTTATAATTCAAATAAAAAGTAAGTCATGTGAAATTTGATGAAAATCATTACATGATTTTTCCTAGCTGTTTTGTAGCTTATTATTCAAAAAACTCTAACACTGAAAAATAGTCCAAAAATATAAACACCACTAAATAATAATAAAATATTAGATTTTTAAAAAAACTAATGTACAAAACGCAGCAGAATATTTTCTTCTAACCTTGATTTTACATTCTGTGACGTAACACCTCCGTCCATAGCAACCGGGCGAGACCACCATATTGTCTACGAACGGTCTAAGGTAAAATTTAGTTAACTAACACAGCCATTCTCAATAGGGTGTGAATAGAGTATGCATTACTTAATTTAGAGTTTTCTTCATTTTAAGCACTGTATACAGGATGTCTCAACAGTTGAGTGTTTTTTAATACCGTATAGAATTCCATAAAATAAACAAATTTTTCCTAAGAATATACTGAAATATATCAGTAGAGATTATCTCATTGGTTAGTAAAAGTAGTACAATGTATAAAGACTTTTTATTTCACACTAGTTGCTATGGAAACTAGTGCTGAACGTTTTACTAGATCCAGTCATCAATAGAAATTTTATTCGATTAACACTTATTGGTCTAATAGAAAAACCTTATTTGTAAATACCTATGGCTTATGTGTATGACAATGTATAGTGTGAATAAAAATTGTTTAACATTGAATTTGTTAATCAGAGATATTGTCCATTAATTAAAAATAAAAAATAAGAAATTGCTTTCATTTAAAAATTGACAACAAATGCCTAGTTATTTTCAATAAAGACAATTTCTGGTTCTTGCTTAATATTCCCAGAAACTTTAACAAATAGGTAATTTGAATATTAATTAATTAAAAGCATTTATTCACCTGTTTAAAATTTTTAACAATACACCAACATAAAATAAAACAGACTATACACAGTACAGATATATGGCCCTACTAGTAAACTGTCAGGGATAAGACGAGATCCTCGTCTATGATACAATGTGTATTTCAATAATTTTGACTCTGCCCTAAGGGCATATTTAAGGGATTAAGGTTGATTTGTATTGGGAATTGTATGTATTAGTAGATTTGTCGTGTCTTATTTTGGAGTTGTCCCCTGAAAAAGCTAGGAAAAAAAGAGAGTTGAAATAATTCGAACTGCCAAATTGTTCATTAAAAAATAAGCAATATTGGTTACCAATTTTTAAATAAAAGCAATGCTTAATTTTTATTCATATTATCCAATAAAGAATTATTTAATATTTATGTACGGCATTGTAAGAAATTAATTTTTTTCTGTATTCAAATAGACATACCTATTAAAACTATAGGCTCAACTGTAGAATTCCCCCTCTATAACCATGTTTATTTTTGACTGAACCCTTGTAACAAACCCTACCACGGCAATAATAGGCTTATACTAAAACTATGGATAAAAAAATATTTTCTAACTACAAAGTACCATTTCACATTATCAACTTTTATATTAAAAAATATATATACAATACATATTACAGGCATTTTTCCAAAGTGCTAAACAACAAATGCTATACAACCTCAGTCTTTGAATTTGTGGTCGTTACAGGAGAATAAACTACAGAATCCTTTCTTCTGAAAGTGACATATGTATATACTAAACTACCAAACACACTGATGTTTATTCCAATGAAATTTTCCCAAGAGAAAATATAATCACCACCTATTACCATACCCAAATATGTTACACATATATTCTTTAATGTACCTATGATTGTAGTTGTTAAAGCAGAATTGTAGTATGTACATAAAACTACACTGTAAGATAGAATAAATCCCATAACACAGGATAACAAAAATTGTGCTGTGAATAGTAAATCACCCCAATATTTGTAATTATATGCAGCTTCTATATCACCAGAATAAATAGCGAAAAATGTAGCAGGTAAAATCATGAACAACGAATTATAATACATCAACCCGTACTTTCCTAATTCTTTAGAATCTAATTTTTTCTTCATGTACACTCCATTGGTAGCAGTAAAAAAGTTATTAAGGAATATAAATAAGTAACCTCTTACTGTGAAAGCGAGATCATTCGTTGCGGCTACTATGGCACCCAGGATCATTGTATATACACTAAATTGCACACTGAAAGTCGGTCTAATTCCTAATATGTACAACTCTAAAATCATCGTCATCAGTATTGAAAACCTTCGTAAAGCTGTAAACATCGGAAGGCTGAGTTCTTTGGTGCCACCAAGTCCGAAAAACATGTTTCCTATGTAGATGAGTGGTAAAGGAAATATCTTACTAAAAGTGTTCATTTCTAAAGTAGGAAAGGTGACTAAACGAACCTTCTTGGCTGTGAACAGGACCAGAATCGTCGCCACCATTTGTCCCAATCCCAAAACTTGAAACGACGGGAATCCATAGGTCGTTAAAACTAATTTATTTACCACTGTTATCATAAACGAAGCTACACCATAAAATATAGCTGCTAGTATTTTTCGCCAAAATAAAGTGTGTTCGTTCAATTCTTCCTGTGTGCGATGCATGGTTTTGATTTAACACAACGTCACTACGTTACTATAATTTAACATTGTCTCTTTACAGATAAATTTTGACTGAATTTTCTATTTGAATTCAGATAATGATATCATTATTACCGCCTTGGCCTACACAAGCAAGGACGATAGGATAAAAACCGAACCAAACACATGTTAGCTGTCAGTAGTGTCATATATGACGTCATATCATTGTCAAGCGGTCTAAATTTAAGATTTTTTGATGTCGTTTATGTAAAAAGGCTTTCGAAAATCGATTAGAAAGTAAAACGTTACATACCAATGTTTCAATTATTTTCTTAATTACACAGAATCATGCACAAACAGGGAAAGAAACTTAAATAACTTTCAAGGTCGCGTAACTGTCATTTGGTTACAATCATTTGTCATTAGTGTTCGTAAGTAAGATCATCTGTAACCAGACAGCAAACAAACTATTACACAATTTAGATGAGATGATGCAAATATTCACAACTGACTTTTTTTCTGAAGTAAATATTTATGCAACAAGTGCAAAAAGTAAGTGTTTATTGCACGAGTTGCATACAATATTTTTTCTACGTTCATGCAAAAACCAAAAAATGTTTTATTTAGGCAACACTAAGTGCAGAAGAATAAAAAGCGTAATTTAATAGCAAAATATTTAATAACTAATAATTAGCATCGATTAACATTGAAAAAGTACTATAACTATGTTAAGAAAAATAATGTATCCAAATCTTTAGGAACAACTGTGTTATGAACAATAATTGAGCTTAAACGTTGTTTTTGCCACTAATATTAAAAGTAAATGTACAATTTGTACAATTTTCAATATTAATATTTTTTAAAACTCAAAGAAATTGAAAATATACTAAATATTGGCGTCGATTTGAATATTTATGTTTGTTATGATCATAAAACGCTGTAGTAAAATGACAGATGAGTGCAATACAATTTTTAGAACCAAGAGGCGTCTCACTCTTTTTAATGTGGCAGCCGATGCTTCAGCTCTGTCTGTCTAACATAAAACACAATCTAAATAATTATAATAAATAAGGTTTTAATCTCCGATTTAATAATTATTATAGGTGAGCACAGAACACTTACTTATGCTGCGTTTGAGAATCCACATCGGATGCATTTTTTACTCGAGCGTTTTTTTATCCACATCTGACACATCTGTCCCATTACATTTACGTATACTGAATCACGTGATCAAAGATTTACTACATCTCAAATGCATCCGATGTGGATTCTCAAACGCAGCATTTGGTGAGTTCGGGCTGCGCACTCCAGAGAAGAGTGGAGTAATTAGGCGTAAACGGAGTGCGCATATGATTTTACTCCTTTTACTCTCGGAGTGCAATGTCAGTTGTCAATGTGACATACCAGCCAGCACATACTTTGATTAAAAATCGAAGTATGGGCATACCAGTAATTAAAATCTAATCCTACTTATCGGTAACAACCGTATAAGTTTCTTCCATATCAATGATATTCATGAGAACCAAAAAAAGAGCTTTCTTACTAAAGAATCAATCACAATTACCTTATTATTGATTTAAATCACCTTATGGGCATGCACGATCCACACTCGATCGCTATTCCCCATGATATCCGAACGGTCAAACAGAAACTTTTAACTCATTCCGTTCCCGAACGCCTTAGGTCCTTTAGGAGTAAAAAGAAAGCCTAGCCTGAACCTCACCTAATGAATGACTGGATTAGACCAGTAGTTTTTGGTCTTTTGATTTTTAGGACGACTGTTGTCAACCGACACATACAATTGTGAAAAAAAAACTCATTTTTCGTCAGGAATGCAATATGTTCTACACGTTCTCATAAACTTGTGAAGCGGGGTTGTTTAAGGTGATTGCAGCTCCTCTTATAATTTTCGGCCACAGACACCTCAAAAAGTAGTTTCGTTAAAAAATTTAAATTTTTGCATAATAAATTAGATAAAATTATATAGGGATGAATGTATTTTTAAATTTTAATTTCTAGCAATTTCCGAGAAAAAATCAAGAAGCTTTGAATTTCAAAATAATATTCCAATGCATGCCAATAAAAACAAACTGTATCTGAAAACGCCGTGGAGAAAACACTGAATGATGTAGTGTTTACACTCAATCCCGCGAAACGTCATTGTGAATAAGTTTGTCAATAAATGTGACGAACAAGTATTAGAAATTAAAAATTTAAAAAAACCGACTTCAAAAACGTGCAGATGCCGTCACCACATCTTAACCAATTTTACATGGGACCACCCTTGAGGTACCCCCTTATTAACAAAAAGAAAATCATAGAAATCGGACAAGATGGTAAAGCATTATCGCTAAACATACATAAAAAATGAAGAGTTTGAAGATTTTGCCATGGATCCAATTATTAGATTTTAACCAAATTTATATGGGACCACCCCTGATGAAGTACCCCCTTTCTATCAAAAAAAGAATTATTGAAATCGGACAAGATAGTAAAGCATTATCGCTAAACATACATAAAAAATGAAGAGTTTGAGGATTTTCCCATGGATCCAATTATTAGATTTTAACCAAATTTATATGGGACCACCCCTGAAGTACCTCCTTTCTAACAAAAAAGAATCATTGAAATCGGACACTGTGTTAAATATTAATCGCTGAACATACATAAAAAAAAAAAAAATATCGCGACGAATTGATAACCTCTTCCTTTTTTGAAATCGGTTAAAAATGGACAAAAATCGTTTTGGTTGTTCAAATATACATCACTTTTGACTGCAGAGTATTTGTTGTTTATAAAAGTTCTGTTTATATTGTAAAATATTCTTTCCAAATACCAAGAGAAGTGAGAATTTTTTTGAAAATGTTTCTTGTTTCGTTACAAATTTTTATAGAAACAACAAAATATTTTTCAAAAATTCTTACCTCTTGTGGTATTACCCTTGAAAATACACGAATTCGTCATTAGCATTTTTTTGAATAAAATACCCAAATTTGAGCTATAAACTGTATTTTTAATATTTTTTAAAATTGTCTCAAGTTAGTGGCTGAATAGCCATGTTAAGTGCTGCCTCCTGGTCTAATGCGTTTGTAATTATCGTATCGCACACTCTCTTTTTTTGAGTTATTTCGTATATTTGCAGGAAACAACATATTTTTCCTTTTAAAATATTACAATCATTGGGTACCAATAGTCAGTCTAGTTACTCTAGTTATAGAAGGTCTTTGATATATGCAATTTGGCTGACTTTTATTACAGTCTCAGTTAATTTTATTTTATGCTGTTTCACATTTAAAGGGACATTAAAATAATCTAGCAGTGACCAAGCACAGCGCCGAACTTATAGTGGGAGAGCCCACTGCAAATTTCGACCGTCATCTGATAACGAAATAAAATATGCTTCAGAGACATGTAAAAATATTGTACTTTACCAAACGGCACCTGTGCCTATCACTATCCTGAGCAAAATAGTTAAAACAATGGCACTTCCGGTGTCATAATTAGCGAGAAATATCGTCATTTGATAACGAGATAAGACATGCCATCGGATAGCTATTGAATAATAGAACTTAAAAATGTACCTGTGCCTCCATTTTTCCTGAGCCAAATGCCTGGCACGGCCTATTTATTCAGCCAAAATTCTCGACAAACTTCCGTCATGTGATAACGAGTTAAAACATTATGCATTCGAATGGGCATAATGTCCTATTCAGGAATATCCGCATGTGCCACGTTTTAACCTGAGCTAAGTTGCTGGCACAGCGTAATTTCTGAGACGCGCCTCTCCCAACTAATTTATTTCATATATACAAAAAATCACATAAGCCATGACAACGAAAATTATTTGTATTGAAAATTACAATCCTAATAATTAATTTTGAACCTATTAGTGAATTCTCGATTTGTATTCCAATTTTATATACTTTTTTACAGATTTAAAAATAAGAAGGTTCTCAAATCGTTGGAATGTAATTTTTTTATGTACGTTCAGCGATAATTCTATACCACGTTGTTTGATTTCCATGATTATTTTTTTGTTAGAAAGAAGGTACCTCAGTGGTGGTCACATATAAATTTGGTTAAGGTCTGATGATGGGATACATTATCATACTCTTTAATTTGCAAAGGCAACTGTACGATTTAGGAGTTTGTTTTTTAAAATTACTTTTGTAACTTGTTATTATCAATATACAGGTTTATTATTTACCAAAATAACTTAATAGGTATTTATTTAGATAAATTTGATTACTATTTTTATCCGTCTAAACAAGTAAACTATTGTAAAATAGAATTAAATAGGTACAGCATTAATTTTTATACCTGAAATATTAAATTTTATCTTTTAAACTATAATCTTATGCTGCGTTTGAGAATCCACATCGGATGCATCTGAGATGTAAAAAATCTTTGATCACGTGATTCAGTATATGTAAATGTAATGGGACAGATGTATCCGATGTGGATAAAAAAACGCTCGAGATGTAAAAAATGCATCCGATGTGGATTCTCAAACGCAGCATTAGTAGGCAGTTTTTTTGACGTTTCTATGACAACCTGTAAAAATGAATCACAATATTAAGTAAACCAATAACTCTTGAAATTATCAAAAATTAATTAATTAATTCTGTTAATAGTTCTTATTATTCATGGATAGATGTTTTTTATGCGATGTAAAAGGGAAAAAAGTGTTTCCCTTTAACGATGTACTCAAAAAATGTTTAAATATGTTACATTTTCGTCAAATAAAAAAATTCAAATACAAAGATGTAAAGTTACCTATCCCGTGAAAGAGCGGAAAATGTTGGTTATCACCCAGAGTGCAAAGCCAAGTTCATGGTTTTCAAAAAGAAGTACAAGGATAAATTCGATAATGTTCAAAATGGATGTAAGTATAAAATATGTTTAAGGGTTATAAGTAGCAAAATACGTCTACTAGTGATGAATGGGGTTACAATTCGCGTTATAAATAGTATTAGGTGTTTGTAAATGAATGGTCGTGTGCATACTTCTATACTTAATGGGTCGTTTTCAGAAAACCACCTCTTTAGGTAAAATCGACCCCATTTTTATTATTTTTTCTACGTTCATGCAAAAAACAAAACTTTATTGAACTATATTTAGTTAGTAAAAAGTGTTTATTGCACGTCGCGTGCAATAAATACTTACTTTTTGCACTTGTTGCATAAATAACTATTATATTATGAATGTTTTGATTATTAAAATATAATCCTAATATATTTAAATCAAGGAACCTATTATTAGCAGCGCACTTTTTGATTTTTAAATGAGTTTTTTGGAATTTTTTGTCAATGCGTACCGGGTCTAAGACAAATAGTACATATTTTAAGTTTTGATCAAGACACCGATAATGCATGGTGATTAAAAGTAATAAAATGATATAGTGA